ATGATTCTAGGAGCATTTTTTTTTTAATTTTAATCAAGGGTGATGAAAAACACAAGATTTACTCCCCCCTCCCCCCCCCCTAAAAGAAAAAAACTGAAAATTCATCGATAAATTTCCACAGATTTACTATTTACCTCTCTTAGTTCAAATCAGGAAGCCAATGTCTCAATCTACAACAAACAGTTTTTTTTTTCTATGAGGAACCTTAGCTTTTTTTCTGTCCTTACATCTTGGATATTTACACACATTTTGAGGAAAATGGTAGTCCGGATACATTCAAGCATTTGCTTTAATGCTAGGAATGTGCTGCTTGATATTTCAGGATACATAAGTCCACCATTATGGCTACATACCTGTTTGTCTCAGATGTGATGCAATGGTAATTCAGGTAATGTTGACACTCCCCTGCTTCCTGTTTCTGATTAAAAACCTAATCCTCAAAGTCTTTTGTCACTTTTCCAAGATTTAATCTGGTCAGAACTTTCTTCTAGTGGTATGTGGTATTTCTTGGAAGTCCTATTCCCGATGATCAAATAGATGGCAAACTTTTTCCCTTTAATTTGCAAAATGGACGTCTCCTCAATTCATTCTATTTTCACCATGGCCTAATTATGATGGTTGATTCGATACGCAAGAGCATTCTCTACGTATGTAAAATTTTTAAAACGAGGTAAATTATTGACAAACAAGTTGATGAAACAAGAATTTCAGCAGTCTCGTTTAAAGTCTTCATTTTGTAAGTTCTATGGTCGATACAATGACCTTGTCAGCAAATACAATTTAGCATTGAGTCAAATGCTGACTGACGTTTTTCATACTAATTGTTAGGCCATTATTTACATACTGAATTGTCGACGGATTTTCCTGTTATTTCACAATCAAGACAAGGAACGCACGGCGGGTGTGACCTTTCGGCAGGGGATGCTCACTCCTCCATGGCACCTGATCCCACCTCTGATGTTTTGGAGGTCCTGTGTTTGCTCTGCACCTATTTTGTAATGTTTAATGGACTTTTGAGCTTCAATACTGTTCGTTATCTCCATATATTTCATGGTATAGTTTTAGCCCATGTTGTGTAAAGGTATATTTGGGTAATTACGTATATTTGACATATTTTGCAAGTGAGCTCAATTTCAAAGAGTTTTTAAAACATATCTTACCGTATGAATCCAAATAATTTATAAGTTAGGCAGAGATTTATCTATCCATACATTTCATCACTGGGACAGAACTTACTAATACAGTTATCCACGACAAACCCTCTTGTAATTTCACACTGAGCGTGTAACCTTCAGAAGATCAGACATTTTGGCTGGAAAATTCCAAAGTGCTTAGAGGATTAGTTTAGATATATTGATCACTTTTCATCTTCCCCCGAATTTTCCACATTGTATTTCGCGATTTAAGCAAACATTTTATATATCTTTGTTTCAAGATGTTTAAGATAATGGAACTTTATAAACACATTGATGTAAACAGAGTTAGCTTTTTCTTGTGTGTAAGCAAAACTGACTCAGCCACTCTATAAACAGCGCCTGCATGCTCTTAGCAGCAGCACTGATAGTGATGTAGATAGCCTACTTTTTTCCTTAATTGTCTGCCATGTCGTATAAAATCATCGTCGATCCCGGCCTTTAAGGTGTGTGGATACAAAGTTTTTTTTTCAAAATATTGCCCCTTGATTTAGGTTGGGGCTACAAATGTATTTGATCATTTGTATCGTATACAGGTATGTTTTTATTTAGAATGGCTCAGATCTAGCAATTTGTTCATCGTTGGAAGTTAGGACATTTGTTTAAAATGTAATAGAGACAGTTTGTAACTTTGGTTGGGATTGAACCCGTGGCCTCTGGCATGCCAGTCCAGTGCTCTATCAATTCAACTAAAGGGTTAACTCACTAGCCTAAGCTAGTAGGAAGTCGTGAATCACACACTACCACATTGCTCCCTCCAAAGAATGAGATGTCCTCATCTCTTGTGGACTGTTGAAGCCTGTGGGGTGAAGTTCTGGGGGCAATCTCTTTCACCCGCCAGAGAATACCCATGTCCCAACGTGGGTGCCAAATGTAACAGAGACAGTTTGTACCCCCGCTTGGGATTGAACCCGAGGCATCTGGCATGCCAATCCTCTCATCTACTAATTGATCTAAGGGGCTAACTTACTGGCCCAAGCTAGTAGGAAGCCTTGATTTACACACTATCACAAAAACTGCATCCTCCTCTACCCTTTTCCTTTTGCCTCTGTATCAATTTTAGAAACACTACGCATTCCTTTACCAGAACATTTGTCTGTGGCATCCGTTTTCAATTCTCAGAAATATAACATGATTTCCTGTATACTTATCCTGTGTTTAAGAGTTTACAATCAAGTACATGTAGACGTAATAAAACAACGAATTTCTTTATTATTTATTTTTTAATCTTACGCTTTCATGTTTCCATGCTTGGGAGAATCAGTAATTTTAATCACGGTTTTATCGAGATCTACAATGAAATACAGATTTGAATTTGTTAAAAATCTACTAATTTCAAATGAAAATTGAGTCTGTAAAATTTACTAAATTAGATTGTGTACATGGTTTTTTTCAGCTTACCTTGTGCATATCAATGTCATAAGAATTAATCTTAGAAAAAAAAAAGTAGCCCGTCCGGGGGCGAATTATTACTTACGTAATTATTTAGCATTTAAATTACAATCAGATAAAGTAATATAATTGGAGGTGCTTACAGGTGTTATTTAACTGTTCATGGATAGCAGCTCTAACTGTTATAATTTTATCATAAATAATGTTTAATATATTTGGAATAACCCATTCTTTATACAGTTAAACGAGGACAATCCTCTACGAAATCTAGATCTGTTGTAAGGGTCTCATAATACAATCAATAAAACATTAATGAATAAGATATCTTCTAGCTAAACAATTTGAATTTTTTCACATATTCATTTAGTGTTGTAAACGTGAAAATTTACGCGTGGGAGATAAATTAACGCGAAAAGAAAGATTTTGAGTACTAACGTTGATCCGATGTTTGAAACACAGATATCAGAATGTACATCATATCAAATCCGGAACTAAACATTGGTTTTTTTTCTTTGTCATTCTTTATTTCCTGTGACACATTTAAGCCAGAATAACGAATAACTCTGTCCTGATGATCTTTTTTTTTTAAATTTTCATCCAGACCAACAGGCCCCCGCTGGAATTAATACATATGATGATATACCATTAGATTTCCACTTCTTGAAAGAAATCGGCTTAATCGATTTCCCGCTCCTGACCCTCCTAATCACTTTGTCTTTATTGCTTTCATACACCAAACCTCCTTGCTCTGTAAGAAATATTCCATAAACATATCCTCAAGGAATATCCACATTTTCCAAAACTGTACTGTTCCGAATTTAGTCGCCTGATAGATCTACACCGCGCTACCCAAACGTCATTATTGACACAGGTCACGAGTTCTGAATTCACCAAAAACCGCTGGTTAGTACTCCCAGCAATCTTGGAGTTTATACGAGAAAATCTTATTTCTGGACCTATAAGGAATTTCCTTTACATTTTGTGACGCTTTGTAAAGATCTCCAAACTCCTCTGTGCTGTGTTCTTCACTGATGGGCTTTGGAGTAAATGTAGGTAAAACAACATCTGTCAACTGTAACTGAGTAAATTCCTCTAGATTTGAATCGAAGCGAATAAATTCTTTTGCTGATTTCTCTTGCTAAATACCCCTACATCTGGACGCTTCAGTGTGACAGTCTTTCAAAAGCTTATTGATTTCTTTCAAACTATTGTCGATCTTCCTTATATGGCTCTGTCTCATAATTTGAAGGCTTACAACTTTTTCTGTGTATTTGTATTTATTTGTATAATTTTGTTCAATTTCTTTTCCTTACCTGAATTGTGATTATTCAAGGTTCGAATTAAATAGAAAAGGTAATAATATGCACGCCTTATACAAAACATTGTATTCATTTTCATTGTTTAGAAAAATTACACTTAAAGGTGCTTAGACACAGATTTGAAGTTAATATTTACTCAAATTTTCTGTATAATTTCATGACTTATATGTTGCTATAGCATTTCATAAGAAAATTTGATAGAAATCTTATTTTATCTGGAAGTTATTGAAACTTCGAATTTCAGGACTCGTTTGATAGACACATCCTTGCACTTTCACAAATTTTAACTTTATCCTTAGTACTTTAGAAAAGTAGCAATTTTGTTGTTTATTAATGAAAAATATTAAAACTATAATGCAGAAATTCCAGAGTTGAAATGTAGTAAGCAAAATCCTCTCACCAGTATTGTCAGTCCGTGCTCAGTGGTGTGTGCAGAGTTTAACAATTGAACAAACCCGTTGAAACGTAAACATTAACAACAACAGAGCTCGTATCCCTGTTTATAAAAACAGTTTACGTTTCACGGGTGTATTCAATTTGTTAAACTCTGTACACAACTACACAACACTGAGCACGGGCTGACAATACTTTAGTGAGTGGGTTTTGCTTTCGCACATTTTTACTCTGAATTTTCTGGATTATAGATGTAATATTATTCATTAATACACAACAAAATTGCTACTTTTCTTAAGTATTAAGAATAGATTTAAAAATTGTGAAAGTGCAAGGATGTGTTAAACAAACGCGTCCCAAAATTCGTATTTTCAATACTTTCCAGATTAAATAAGTTTTTAATTTTATTTTCGTGTGAAATGCTATAGCAACATATAAGTTGTGATATTATACAGAAAATTTGAGAAAATATAAACTTCAAATCTGTGTCTAAGCACCTTTAAGACACTTCACTTTAAACTCTCTGTAACATATCATTGTATTTTACCACCAAATTTCATTATTGCGTGATTGTGTTTTTAAATATGATACTTATGCCGTGATTATTTATAGATATTTACATTCTGTATATACTTATATATCCTTGATTATAGATCATTTTTCATTTATTTCAATTTGTGATATATATAATTTTTTTTACGAAATGGAGAATGTGAAAAGGTATATTTGCTTTTTATATATGCTTAATTCCTTTATGCTTTTTATAATATCATGGTTTTAATTTGTTTTCTACAGTGGATTTGTACTGTTGCTGGTCGTGGTCACTAGAGTGTTTGGTTCTATGAAGGAGACACCACAGCAGATCATTAACAAATACAACAACTACAGGACAATCTGTACTGGACTTGGATATCAGAACCTAAGCTGTAAAGCCGACAACAAAGGTACGGAATACTTTTTTTTACAACTTTGAAGACGGCTTATGACGAATTACTAATTTAAGGATGGATTCTTCTCATATTTCTTATAATGGCAGAATTTTGATTTTCTGAATACTTAATATTTAGACTGTGTACACTATTTTAACATCCAAAAACTTTGGTGTCATCAGCCTCGATTTTCAGTCAAGGTCATTTGAAAATAATTTAATTTTGTTTGTATTCTAGCCTCTGATTGGTTAATATCCAAAAAGGAACACAAATTATTTTTGTATAACCTGGTTTGGTATGGGGACACACACCCCTGACAACCAGCTGAATCATCTGTATGCATACAATCCTCTCATTTCCAGTCCTCGGGATTAATGGAAAATTCCAGATTTAATAAATATACCTTTAACTTCAAACAATAATTCGATCTTACCATATGTAAACAAGCTGCTAGGCCTATGTATCAGTTTTTACCTCCCCTTGCTTCCCATCACTTCCGTTACTTCCGTTACTACGGTTGTATTATTGAGCGGCAAATTTGAACTAATAAAAAGCAACGAAATTTTACACCCATAGTTATTTAATGATTTTAAAATTAAATTATAAGGAATGACTCTAATTCTTGGCCAAATTATTCGAGTATAACCTGGTTTGGGTCAGTTTACGCTGTTTTATAATCCGCTTCGCGGATTATAAAGCGTAAACTGACCCAAACCAGGTTATACTCGAATAATTTGGCCAAGAATTAGAGTCATTCCTAAAATAAGTCCTAAAAGCAGTAGTTTTACACAGGGAAGTTTTGAAATTTGTGCACATGAATAAATTTTTCTGACTGAAAAAATATCTTTAACCATAAAATTAAAGTTGTTATTACTTATTTTATATCACTAATTAATATAAAATGAGCTGGTGAAAAGAAAACATGAAATCCTTCATATTCAATAAATATATTTAATCCGAATTTCCTCGATATTTTTTTCAAAAATTCTCAGTTTTCATGAATTCACATTGAAATTTCATCTCAATTTTTACAATTGACCTTATAATGTCAAATATATAGATTTTTGTTTGATGATTATTCAAAGGTTCAAGATTAATTTACAATGTGAAAAAGATAGCAAATTATAGATAAAAATTAGCCGAATTTACTCTACACTTTCTTAAATCTTCAATATTTACAGAGTGTTTTTAATATCTATAAGAAGGATTTTTAATCCACAAAAATACAGCAATTAGGTGTATTTGTGACATATATACATTCATTTCTACCAGTTATACACTTTATTTTTATAGTTTTTACACTAATGGTATTTAAAATATTCATTTCTAATTTCCTCTGTCATTTTTTCTTATGAATAAGTTATGTTTGACAGTTTTATATAATACATCAACTTTCTAGTGGCAATAACAGAAAATTATCACATATATTCTTCACAAGCACAGGAATAATTCAAATCAACTTAACCTTCATTATAACCAAGAATAATTAATAAACCTTCCACAAAAATATGAGAAAAATCATACATAAAATATTCATAGACTAGAAAAAATTTCAATACATTATTTATGAGATAAACATAGTCCTCCATCGTGTTCATGTTCTTCTTCGCCCTATAACTATAGTCCTGCTGGACACGTTATTACTGGTGGCGTAAATATAGTTAATAATGAGGACCTTAGATCACTAATTTTAAAAGGTCCTAAATTTAGGGAACCCAGATCCTTCAACTGGCGTAAGAATTTCATAAATATTATGGATTCTGTAGAGGACTACGCCAGGCGATGGGCCAAACATGAAAAAGAAGACCTTGACACTTTGTCAGAATGGATTAAATGTATCAGATCTATGTTAAAATCGCGCATTAAAAGATTGAGAGGCAGTATGAAAACCATCTATCCTTCTGTATTCAATAATCCAGAAGTGAAAAAAGAATTAGATACCCGGTAGATTACATGATCAGTACGTACTGGTCCCTGCTGACAAAGCAGGTAACAACATTGTCTTTGTTTGTAAGGCTCATTATATTAAATGTACTTTATAGGAACTTGGATTTAATTCTACAAGTGGTAATCCAACTTATACTCATAGTTCCCTTTCTAAGGAAGAAATTCTTCAAAATCATATGTCAGTTTTGAATATTTTTAATATTCCAAACAACCAAAATGAATTCGAATTACCATATTTATATTGGATTCCGAAACTTCATAAAAATCCTTACAAACAAAGATACATAGCGGGTTCCAGTAAATGTTCAACCAAGCCTCTATCTTTACTCTTCGCTAAGATATTAACAGTGGTGAAGGAGAAACTTCAAGAGTACTGTGCAACAATATATTCGAGAAGTGGTGTAAATCAGATGTGGATACTTAAAAATTCCAAGGAACTTTTGGAAAATTTGAAATCACAAGATTTTACCAAAATCAACAGCTTAAAAACTTACGTCTTTTCAACTTTATACACAACCATTCCCCACGATAAATTAAAGTCCAGACTTTTTGATATCATTGACAGCTACTTTTTCAATAAAAATGGAACTCGTAAATATACTTACCGTGTCATTGGTCATTTGCAAAATTATTTTGTTAAAAAACATTCTGATTGTACACACAAGTACTTTGAAGTTGACATTAAAAAGATGCTTGAGTTTCTGATTGAAAATATCTATGTGGTTTTTGGAGGCCAGGTCTTCCAACAATCTATTGGAATTGCCATGGGTACCAATTGCGCCCCGTTATTAGCAGACCTTTTTTTGTATTCATATGAAGCAGAATTTGTCCAAAATCTTGTACGTGAAAAGAAGAAAACACTTGTTGTGGCCTTCAACTCGACATTTAGATATATCGACGACGTATTGTCAATTAACAATGGCTATTTCCATTCTTATGTCGATACGATATATCCTGGTGAACTTGAGATAAAAGATACCACAGGGTCTGACACATCTGTTTCATATTTGCATATTTTACTTGAAAAAGACGTTAATGGTAATCTAACAACCAAGCTTTATGATAAACGTGATGACTTTAACTTTTCAATCGTCAATTTCCCTTACTTATGCAGCAATATACCTTCATCACCTGCATACGGGGTATATATCTCTCAGTTGATTCGATACGCAACAACATGCTCTACGTATGTACAATTTCTAAAACGAGGTAAATTATTGACAAATAAGTTGATGAAACAAGAATATCAGCTGTCTCGGTTAAAATCATCATTTCGTAAGTTCTATGGTTGATACAATGACCTTGTCAGCAAATACAATTTATCATTGAGTCAAATGCTGACTGACGTTTTTCATACTAATTGTTAGGCCATTATTTACACACTGAATTGTGGACGGATTTTTCTGTTATTTCCCGATCATGACAAGGAACACACGGCGGGTGTGAACGGTCGGCAGGGGATGCTCACTCCTCCATGGCACCTGATCCCACCTCTGATGTTTGGAGGTCCGTGTTTGCTCTGCTCCTATTCTGTATTGTTAAATGGACTTTTGAGCTTGAATACTGTTCGTTATCTCTATACATTTCATAAACATGAAATCAATATACATGTATATTGAACATGCCATATTATGAATCAAGACATTCATTGCATAATATATGAATATCAGAGGGACTAATACATGCCTCTATACATGTATATGTAGTTATATATATGTACATGTAGGTCCCTTGTATTATGTTATTGGAAATTTCACATTTGTCGACTGAGATTTTAAATCAATAAATACCTACACCCATTTATGACTATAATAATAAAGTTTGTTCAGCTCAAATAAATATATCTCCTCTATATGATTATATACTGCATAAAATTTGCTGGAGTTTTAAGATAACAAATCAGCCATCTTCAGTGAGTGCACTTTGACTTTTTTGCCTATAAAGATAACAACGAAAATGACATCCTTTGAACTTTGCAACAATAATATTCATGCAGCTATCAAACTTAATTTAACATTTAGATGCAAAATACTTATTCAAGGATGAAATTTCTTTTGAGAATTTGTAACACAAACATTTATTATTTATCAGTGTCAATAACTGGTTTTCAAATTGAATTAAAAATTACCTCTTGAGGGTTTCTACTGCAAGTATATGCAGACAAATTCATTTGTATAAATTTAAATTTTAACCCGCCCACTACCAGCAATTTTTTTTCAACTGGCATGCTCTTGCTTAAAATCACCCTATAACTAAATAATCTTATGCAGACACATTTTTAAGCACCCTAGAACTGTATTTTATTAGTTTTTAACTGTAAGCAACTGAATACATAGAGCTAGATTTATATCATTTACAAGTTGTTGTAATACCAGGACATGTAAATCTTCACACTGTAATCTAATGAAAGATAATGCTTGAAGAATTCACTCTAGGAGTAATTAAGATTCTCCATTTTGAATTTAAGATTTTATATAGTAATCACATTCTACAAAGCGTGCAATGTACCAGGCACTTGGATTTTTTTTCTTCACAAACTTCAATACATTTAAAAATAAGGGAAGTCAAATAATTAAACATTATATGATTATATATAAAATTACTTTCAACTTAAAGGTGCTTGGACACAGTTTTGAAGTTAATATTTTCTCTTATTTTCTGTATATTTTCATGACTTATATGTTGCTATAGCATATCATACTAAAATAAAATAAAAATTTTATTTCATCTCGAGGTTATTAAAACTTCAAATTTCTGGACGCGTTGGATTGACACATCCTTACGCTTTCACATCTTGTAATATTATTCTTAAAACTTAAGAAAAGTGGCAATTTTGTTGTGTATTAATGAAAAATATTAAAACTATAACCCAGAAAATTCAGAGTAGAAATGTTCGAAAGCAAAACCCACTCACAGTATTGTAAGTCCGTGCTCAGTGGTGTGTGCAGAGTTTAACAATTGAACACACCCGTTCACGCTCGTGCTCTGTTTACAAAAATAGTTTACGTTTCACAGTTGTGTTCAATTTCTTAAACTCTGTACACATCACTGAGCACGGACTTACAATA